GTTAGTTCAATCTCTAACCTTCTGCTCTCTCTGCTTTTCCTCAGAGTAGCTTTGCCTCGTCTGTTCCTGTTTGGCTGTGACGTCATCCTGGAAAGAAACATCAGCTTTGCTGCTTCTATCAACATCCTTGTTTATAGATGTTGGAGATCGGCCTGTTTTCCAGTGTGGTCCTGTTTCTCTGACCGTGACTGTGTGGATGTGCTCTCTTCATCCTCTGACATGGGAGCTGGCTCGGAGCTCGTCTGCCTGGCTGTGTGTTTCCTGGACGGGGCCGCCATTTAAAGCTGCTTTTGTATCTCTGCTTCTGTCTCCTTGAACCCCAGTCGGCCTCGGCAGATGGCCGCTCACACTGAGCCTGGTTCTGCTGGAGGTTTCTTCCTGTTCAAAGGGAGTTTTTCCTCTCCACTGTCGCTACAAGCATACTTAGTGTGAGGGATTGTATTTGAGTCAATGAGTCGATGCAATCAGCTGGTTTTCCTTAGATAGAAAACTTTGTATCAATTTGACTGGATGATCTGGTTGAACTGTAAAGTGCCTTGAGATGACATGTGTTGTGAATTTGGCGCTATATAAATAAACTGAATTGAATTGTGGCTAAAGCTCCGCTATGTCCGTTGCTAAAGCTATCTTGTGCACGCTATCAAGGCTGAGACCACAATTCAGTAGTTGAACCACCCATTCCACCTGCTCTTAGCAGTAATGATTTTATGTGATTCTTTATAAATAAGATTTATCTTATTAAAAATAAGATAATTAACACTCCTCTATCTACGACTGGTTTATCTCTGGAAGGTGAGTCAGCATCTGAGGTAGAATCTGAACTTGGTTTAGACTGCTTTGATTGAGTTGAATTTTCAGAGTTAGCAAAACTACTGTCTGTGTGACACAGGGGTCAGTGCTAGGATCAGTTCTCTTTACTATATATATGCTCCCAATTTGTAGTTATTAGACAGCATGGGATTAATTTCCACAGTAATGCTGATGATACCCAACTATATCTGTCTGTAAATCCAGATGGAGCTAATCCATTATATAGATTACAGGCATGTCTTGAAGACACAATCACCTGGATGACTCTTGTCTTTCTTGTCCTGCAGACAACACAGAAGTTATAGTCTTTGGACCAGAGTCTTTGAAAAAGAAGCCGATTAATCGGTCACTTCATTTGGATGGGATGGGACGACCTGGATGACTGAGAATCTTCACCAGCGTCTTAGTTTACTATATCTTGAAGATGAAGTAGGGCCCATACTTTATAACTTCAGTTCTCAGAAAATCACCAGAATATAGAAAATAATGTATATTGTGTGAAAGTTCTTCCACATAACTACAGATCACCTATTGTTATTCAATAACATTTACTGTGCTTCCACATTTTGCTACTATGGCTATGTTCACACTGCAGCTGAAGTGACCCAAGTCCAATTTTTCTGATCTTTTCATGATAGTCTGAACAACACAGATCCAAGTTTTTCCAATGCGACCCAGACTGCTTGGCTCTGTTGTCCTGAATCCGATAGGAATGTGATCTTTTCAAATGCGCCCTGTGTCTGAACGGCCAGGTTGCATTCATCTGACCTGGACACCATTAATAACCGACAAACGTCACTATTCTGGGTCCTGCTATGGAGTAGCGGCTAAAAAACAAAAACAATGGCAGACGATGATGCAGAGAGCAATATTTATGTTTAACCATCTTGAAAAGATGTCTGTGAAGTCACTGCGTCCTCTACAGTGCATGCGGGACACTGCATGACTGCAGTTCACACAGGAGACCACATAAAAGTCGCATTTATTAGGAAATGTGAACGGCAACGTAAAAAAAAAAAAAAAAAAAAGAATTTCACAAAAAATCTGAATTGAGCATCCAGGCCTGCAGTGTGAACCTTTGTTTCAGTTAAATCCTCTGAAAACCTCCAACCTTTAGCTGCAGCTGTAATCTAAGCCTTTCAATCTAACCCTGACAAGGGTTGCCTGTTCACACTATTTAAAAGTTGGCAGCCCTGCAAATGTACAGATAGTTTGCTTTCTTACAAACATTATTAACATGGCTGTAGTTCTGGATGCTGAACGTGTTTAAACTGCAGCATTTCTGTTTGGAAACAACTTAATCTAGAAGCACAGTTGTTCATCTCAGCTAAAGCTAGAATACTGGAGGCTGAGAGCTCAATTAAATCTCTAATTCAATAGCAATGTTTTATAAACAGCAATGATGATTTTCTTATGTTTAAATGACGATCTCTGGCTGATGTGGTTGTGGTGTGACTGTAGCTATTAGCTGGGCTGCTTTTCCTAAACCAGAGTTACCAAAGTCATTTATTATCATTTCCCAAACTAACAGTTTTAGCAGCTATAGTTTTAGTAAGCAAACCCTGTTTAAAGGCTTTTTCCAGCCTATGGATGGAGCTTTAATCCAATCCTCCCTCCTCCATGTGCAGACTGTGACTCCATTGTCCAGCAGCAGATAAACCATCTAACAATTCTATAGATATCTGAGGAATCAGGGATCAGAACAGCCTCCATGTTGGAATCTAAGCATCACAAACAACATGGAACAGTAGAGTTTTAGCCTGAAAAGCTGCAATGACCAAACATCATGCACACTTTAATCGGTCTCCGTCAGTCACGTGACATTTGTTGCTAAGACGCCATTTTTGGCGTAAAGGCGTAGTGTAAACAACCGCAGTATAGCTAAACGAAGGACTAAAGGATTGAGTTTGTCTCTCTGACTATATGGAAAAAAGTAAGCAGAATGTGAAATTACCGTAGGCTACGGTGTCGTGCCAAGGTAGTTATCCCTGCGAAAATTTGTATCCCCTCGTCGGGCGCGCGCACGGAGTAGGAAGAACAACCAGAGTTAACTCCGCTTCGATTCCAACGTGCAGAACTTGAAATTTGAAAGGTTTTACGTACATGAAAGTTGAGCTTTACTGTTTTATTCTTTACTTCACATGTTATAGCAGAATATCGCCAGTGATATTGATCTAAAACTAATAATAAAACACAAACGTTTGCTTGAAAGCTGGTCACTGACAGCAGTGTCTACTCCTCCCTCTGAAAGCAAACAGATCCTTGTTCTTTTCCACACGTTCATTAAAAAAATCTCTCATTGTTTCACAGTGTCCAAATGTTCTCATCCCATTGAAAACTGTTGTAAACCGTATACTTGTAATAAAAATGAAATAGAAAATGGAGTGCACGTGTAATCATTAAAAACTACTGTATATGCAGAAGGAAATAATTTTTTCCTCGTTGAAATTTGGTACTTAAATCTATATTTGTGTTTATAGTAACTTGCAATTTATCTATGTTGTACTATCCTTAATAAACAGTTTGTGTTCTAACATCAGCCATTTTATTTCATCCCATTTTGCCAGAACTGGCAATATGGGATGAAATAAAACCTGCTGTAATCTGTTCCCCCTGTCTAAATCAGGCAAAAAAGGCCCCAGCTTTTTCATTTTTGGCATCATAAAAGATGCTTATAAGCCAAAAATGACAAATCTGGGACCTTTTTTGCCTGATTTAGACAGGGGGAACAGATTATAGCAGGTGGTCTGCTATAATCTGTCCCCCCCTTGTAACTTTAAGAAATAAAGGTCAATCAACTCCAAAGTTTCAGGGGTTAGTTGTCATCATAAAAGATACTTATAAGCCAAAAATGAAAAAGCTGGGACCTTTTTTGTCTGATTTATACAGGGGGAACAGATTATAGCAGGTGGCCTGCTATAATTTGTTCCCCCCTTATAACTTTAAGAAATAAAGGTCAATCAACTCCAAAGTGTCAGGGGTTAGTTGTCATCATAAAAGATGTTTATAAGCCAAAATAAAAAAAAAGCTGGGGCCTTTTTTGTCTGATTTAGACAGGGGGAACAGATTATAGCAGGTGGCCTGCTATAATTTGTTCCCCCCTATTAACTTTAAGAAATAAAGGTCAATCAACTCCAAAGTTTCAGGGGTTAGTTGTCATCATAAAAGATGTTTATAAGCCAAAATAAAAAAAAAGCTGGGGCCTTTTTTGTCTGATTTAGACAGGGGGAACAGATTATAGCAGGTGGCCTGCTATAATTTGTTCCCCCCTTATAACTTTAAGAAATAAAGGTCAATCAACTCCAAAGTGTCAGGGGTTAGTTGTCATCATAAAAGATGTTTATAAGCCAAAATAAAAAAAAAGCTGGGGCCTTTTTTGTCTGATTTAGACAGGGGGAACAGATTACAGCAGGTTTTATTTTATCCCATATTGCCAGTTCTGGCATATGGTCTTTAATGATTACACGTGCACTCCATTTTCTATTTCATTTTTATTACAAGTATACGGTTTACAACAGTTTTCAATGGGATGAGAACATTTGGACACTGTGAAACAATGAGAGATTTTTTTAATGAACGTGTGGAAAAGAACAAGGATCTGTTTGCTTTCAGAGGGAGGAGTAGACACTGCTGTCAGCGACCAGCTTTCAAGCCAACGTTTGTGTTTTATTATTAGTTTCAGATCAATATCACTGGCGATATTCTGCTATAACATGTGAAGTAAAGAATAAAACAGTAAAGCTCAACTTTCATGCACGTAAAACCTTTCAAATTTCAAGTTCTGCACGTTGGAATTGTAGTGGAGTTAACTCGGGTTGTTCTTCCTACTCCGTGCGCGATCCCGACGAGGGGATACAAATTTTCGCAGGGATAACTACCTTGGCAAGACACCGGGACTGGCAGCCTCTCACACAACATGATTATGTCATTTCTGGTAAATAATTGTGCCGAAAGAACAGCCGCGTGTGGCTTATCTCGACTTTACGCCTAATATGGTGGTTTTCCCACGATGCACCGCGCCCGAGGTAAACAATTGACGTCACCTGGCGGAGACCGATAGACTCCCACTATCAACCGGAAGTTAGCTTTAGCTTAGCATGTTGGTCTCCTCTAAGCAGTTTTCCAATCAGATGAGGCTAAAATCCACAGTGTGCATCATCAGGGAATCGTTTCTATCAGGTGTTTCCTACCTATCCGGTGTAAGATGATCTGGGGGATCCTGGTGAAATCCAGCAGTAGATGTTGATCGTCCATCTTTTCCTCCGAATTGACCAAACTCCCTTTAAACTCCGTGAATGTTTCTTCAGCAGGAGTTAACTGCTCGGTGATAAACTCTCCTTGAAGCTGGACTGAAGACATTCTCACTGCAAACACTCCCAGATTATCAGCCTCTCTACAATGACTCCACACACAAGCTAAGCTAATGCTGCTAGCTGCTGTTCTGTCCAGTCTGGTCGCATCGAGGCCTGTTGTTCTTCTCTTTATAGCAGCTGGCAGACCAACTATAAAGGCGCATTACCGCCACCTGCTGGACTGGAGTGTCAACAGCAGGTTTACAGCAAAAGCAACAACAAAAAAATATATATATTTTTTTCCTGTAATAATTTAGTATTTATAAAATTAAATGATATTTTATCTTTAAATTCATTTAACTATATTCAATATTACATTAAGTGAACTATTCAAACCTGTTTGACCAATTCTGCATCATGAAATTATTGATTCTATTCTCCTGTTTCTTCCTGCTTTCCTATCTCTCACACTTGTCATCCCATTGTCCATGTTGGTTCACCTTCTGCTGGTAAAGTTTTGTCCTCTTCTGTCCTAAAAGAAAGTTTTCTCAATAATGAAACTCTGTTTTTACTATAAAGTGCCGTCATACAAACACAGAATAAAAAAGATGAGTAAGTTTGATGTTTTCACATCTCTACGACTGAATCCAGATATTCAGAATCAGAACCAGATTTATGGGCCAGGACTGTGAGCGAAAGCAAGAAATTGACTTCAGTTTTACACCCAGTGAGCCGGCATCAAGGATAGAGATATAAACTTTAGAGGAAATAAAACAAAAGATAAAGAAACAACATGCATCTGGAAGTTCATCCAATATTTCTCCTGGTTGCAGAGGCGGCTACAGAACTAAAAACATTTACTCAGTAAGAGTAGCACTACTTGAACTTTTTTATACTCAAGTAAAAGTAGAAAGTTATAATCCAAGAAATGATTCAAGTAGGGCAAAAAAGTACTGGGTTAAATGGCTCCTAATGTACTGAATAATTATTGGCTCTAAACATCAGATTTAATGTTTAGAATGATGGAACCAGACAGAGAGTTATGAGCAAATTCTGATATTCACAATGAAGATAAAATCCAAATAAATACCTTTTCAACATAAACTTATAGACCAGTCTTTACAGCATGTAATGCATATATGGAAGTAAATGATAAAGAACCCTACAGCTAAAATATCGACTCTTTACTGTATTTCACCTGATCTCCAATAGATCGGGTTCCTCATGGAGGAACCAGAACATTTACTCAGTAAGAGCAGAGATTATATTATTATATCAAATGATTATTTCAGATCCACTTGCAGCTTAGCTTCTGTGTCAGTCCACCACAGTCACCCAACCCAGACAGTGTATTGCCCACAGCCAAACTGAAAATAAATTGGAAAAACTCCAAAATAAGTAAATCATTACTAAAATTATTCAAATTTAGAAAAGTGTTCAAATAATTAAATGTGGTTCATTTAACATAAAATTTCTCTTTAAAAAGGCTTCTTAGTTAATGAATTGTTCTTTGATAATCAAATTGATTTCTGTTGTCTTATACAAACCTGGCTACAACAAAAGGATTGTGTGAGAATGAATGAGGAAACTCCCTCCTCCTATTTAAGGTTTCATTGACCCAGAAACTTTGGGAGAGGAGGAGTAGCAACAATCTGTCTGTCATAAAGAGGGGATGATGGACCCAGTATTCAGGCCAGTCAGACAGTGGCAAGTTTAGAAATGTTTAATGACAAAAATCAATAAACAGAACAGAAACAGCCTGCTGTTGATCAGCGGACCTGCAGCAGCTGCTGGGGGGGCCTCATCACTGGTACCCTGGTTGTGGGAGAAACAGATAAATGACCACAATAATGGGAAACATTTGATGGTTATCTGTGTGAGTTACTTCTCTGTTTTATCACTTCAGTCCTTCCTCCCAGGTGAGGCAGGATCCGGCCGATGCACAGCCAACGAGATGCAGAGCTGAGCCACACAGAATGTCCCAGATGCAGCAACCCCAGTGAGCAGGTAGGAGCCTGATCCAGGTCTGAGAAACAGTTCAGAACAGGACTGTTCTGAGATCCAGGAGTCTGTAGCCAGACTCATCTCTTTGGTCCTTTGTCTAGATCTACATTACAGGCCAGATGAACGCAACCATGACATAGTTAGATCCCTATGTCACTGAGCATAGCTCTAACACTGTGGCTAAAACAGTTGGAGTTTTGGTGGGCCTGGTTTCAACAACACACGTAGCAGGGCTGATTGATGCATTGCTAATGAAGCCAACAAGACACTGAATTAGCTAAACTCTGATCATTTGCAGCTGATCTCTTAAAAAATCCTCCAAAAACATCAGCAAAACTGAGCGAAGAACATTAAACCTAACCTACCTTTGCTTTTACTTTCATCTGAGGATATTTTCATCTGAATAGAAGTCTGTTTCCGGAATATATCCAGCTTATGATTCAGCTAAAAGGTTCTTTATCCCAAAAATAAAACTTGTTTGTTTTTTTTCTGAATAAATTCATTAGGGATCCGCCTGGATTTTTTTCCAATTTAAATATCTGTATATTCTCAATTGCTTGTTGTATGGACAGCAAACTTGCTTCATCTGTAACCAAGATGTTGCAATAACACTTAATCATGTTTATTTCCTTCATTACAGAAAAAGTAAGCAATTGTGAATGTATTTTTCTTTTTTTTTTTGTCAGGGCATTGTTCTCTTTTTGGCCACTCAAATCTAATTTATTCAGCCCCAAAATAATTAACTTTCAGATTTTTACATCCACATATTCGCCATGGGCCTGAATATTTACCAGGTGTTAGAGCCATTTTTTATGTTTTGCAGAATTCAAGTTGATTTAAGAATTAATTTGTCCATATTTAGCAATATAGGAATGTATTTTGTGAAATAGATTTTTATTTAGTTACTGTGGTGCATTTGAGGGGCTGATGGTTTGGTGTGAATCTTTCAGGACACACGAAGAAATTCATAGCGGAAGCTTCAAGCCTTAGGAGCAACACAGTCTTTTGACCGGCACATGGCAATTTCATTTAGATAAGAAGTTAAGAATTTTGTTTTTTTTTTTGGTAAATTTCTTTAGTTCAATAAAGAAAGACATCAAACTAACGTTTCTGATTGAAGACTTTATTTCTTTCATGTGTTGCGTCTGAAAGAGCTTCAAGGTTCAAAGCCAATGAACTCACACCAGGTTTACAATATAGCACTAACTTCTATGTAAACAGAGCTGTTAATTAATGGCTAGCTCTAAACTTTCTAGAACCTTTCACAATTCACTCAGGAGAAAAGCTTCTCACCTGTATGAATTATCATGTGTCCAGTCAAATGATGTTTTACAGTAAAACTTTTGCCACAAATCATGCAGGAAAAAGGCTTCTCATCTGTGTGAATTCTCATGTGAGAGGTCAAATTGCTCGTCAGCAGAATTCTTGTTACAAATCTTACAATAATAAGGTTTCTCACTTGTATGAATTCTGATGTGTTTATTAAGATCAGAAATAGAGGAGAAGCGTTTTCCACAGGACAGACATTCAAAAGGCTTCTCACCTGTGTGAATTCTCATGTGAGAAGTCAAAAGACTTCTTCCAGTAAATGTCTTATTACATATAATACAGAAAAAAGACTTCTCACCAGTGTGAACTTTGATGTGTGTATCAAGATGAGGTTTCTGAGTGAAGCTTTTTCCACAGGACAGACATTCAAAAGGCCTCTCACCTGTGTGAATTCTCATGTGAGAAGTCAAATGACTTTTTCCAGCAAAATTCTTGTTACAAATGATACAGAAAAAAGGTTTCTCACCTATGTCAATTCTAGATGTTGTTGTGAAAATTTTTCCACAGGACAGACATTCATATATCTTCTGACCTGTGTGAGTTTGAACCATGAAATATTCTTTGTTTAGAGAGTTTTCTCCACATGTTAAACATGGGAGATCTTCTGTCTCGTCCTTCAGACCAAGCTGGTCTTCATGCTCACTTATGGGGAGCTCCATGGTTTCCTCTTCTGTCCAGGAATGTTCTGGTTCTTTCTGCTCTTCTTTTATCTGCAGAGCTTCTGGTTCCTCTTGGTCCAAACTGGAATTCCTCTCCTGTCCACAGAGCTGCTGGTCAGAGAAATCCTCCTCTTTTCCAACATTATCCTGCAGGCGGTCTGAAAGACAAACAGCAGAAAGACTTTCTATTGTAGGTTAAAGAAAGGACTCTTCACTTTAATTATCCTTTGTTAGTGTAACTAAATACAGGCTGGAACTACATCTCCCAGCATGCACTGCAGCTCTGACATTACAATCACAGGTTTGGACCTCCACTTTTGTCTTTAAACTTCAGATTATGTCTGAACAGACCATGTTTTTCTTTAATTTTCCCTCCACACAAACCTTAACAATCTAATTATTAATGTTTTACTGCATCTGAAGTGTTAAAACATCACATGGGATGACCATCTAGCCTGTATTTCAATTTAGACAACCAATTTAAAATAACTAAACCCATTTTAAATTCTCTCATCCTTCTTGGCATAAATTCATCAAATATATTCATTGATAAAATAAACATCTGTATGACTATTTCAATCTTAACATAAAAATGTCTGCATATGATCAATCGATGAAATATCATCTGGGGCGACCATCAATACAAGCACAACATTGGGACTTTTTATTTGAAATCTTGACAGGGACAGGATATCGCATCAGTCAGAGAATTCATACTTTTTTCAAATAACTCTGTGGTGTGACTGTTAACTACTGGACACCTTTAGCTATAATGTGAGGCGACCTCAAAGCTTTGAGAAATATGGCGCTCTGCCTTCCTGCTGATGGTTATGATTGGTCTGCTAACCTGAACCCGCCCCTTTGCACTGACCCGCTAATGGGCTGCAGCCCGGGGCGGGGCTATTAGTGTGCACACCTGAAGTGCTTTGCCTCACATTGGTGAAGGCATAAATGACACTTA